GGGTGGGGGCGGGAGCTGGCAGGGCCAGCCTGCCACATTGACAGGCAGGTAGCAGAGCTCGCACAGAGCACGCCTGCAGGAGCTGGTGGAGGTGGCTGTGTTGGCGTGTGCGCAGAAGGGGCAAGTTGAAAATTCCATGACAAGCAGACAAGAACGGTGACGGCTCTCTAGACAGATTGTCTAATTAAGAGTGTAAAAAAGCACATGATGCATTAGCCTGGGGGAGAATAGCCACTCAAGCACTCTCCTCCGCAGAGCTCGCACAGAGCACGCCTGCAGGAGCTGGTGGAGGTGGCTGTGTTGGCGTGTGCGCAGAAGGGGCAAGTTGAAAATTCCATGACAAGCAGACAAGAACGGTGACGGCTCTCTAGACAGATTGTCTAATTAAGAGTGTAAAAAAGCACATGATGCATTAGCCTGGGGGAGAATAGCCACTCAAGCACTCTCCTCCTAGCTATGCCAGCCCAGGCTATGCCTTGCTGGTTAACAAGAGGTGTACCCAGTCTCCTTGAAGCATTGCTCAGTGATTTCTCGCCCAAGATTAGCTGCTCTGAGAGATCCCAGGTCTTCTGCTCCGAAAGGAGCAGCATACCCCAGTTAACCAGTTTTACCTTAAAACACTGCTCCTGTATAACACAAGGCATTTGTGAGAGCTTGTAGTAAAACTAAAGGTTTAAGAAAGAATAGAGGTTCCACTAGAAGTAATAAAGTGATGGAAACAAATGGCTTAATACAGAACAATTAAAGGAATTTTTTTCCTTTCCCTTCATATAAAGTAGGTTCTTCCCAGGGCTGATAATAGACTGCTGGGCCATGGGCAATTTGGAGGTGGGGCTCAGCCCTGGAGCCTCTGGAAGAGGCAGGGCTAGAGGCAGCCAGCCCTCACTGCTGCCTGGACTGTGCTCCACCTCCCCCAGCTGCCCCTCCGCACTGCCTGGACTGCACCACACAGGGATCTGGTGGTGATTTGAAGGGACTGGCGGAGCTTGTAAAATTGCCAGACCCTGGAGCAGCTGCCCCCTTTTCCCCTGCTCTCCTGTCAGAGGCAATGGTTCCCTCCCACCCCAAAAGATCAGTGCGTTGCAGAGTTGGCTAGTTTTTCAGGGATCAGGATCCAGTGTTTCATGGAACATGATCCTGCTCAACAAGATGTCTCCACAGTGAATGGCTACAGAGAGTTTTTCTCCACTCTGTCACGGAATCTGTCTTTTCCCTTTATGCACAGACATGGCATTATCTTCACTGTCATATCATTCTTTTTCACAACCAAGGGTATGTCTAGACTACAGAGCTTTTCCGGGATACCTCTGGTATCCCGGAAAAGCTCTGCTGCATCCAAGGAACACATGCCTGCTCTTCTGAAAAAAATGTTGGAAAAGTGGACACGTTTTGTCGGCATCCTGTAAACCTTGTTTAACGAGGAAGAAGGGATGTTCCAAAAGAGGTTTTTGTTCTGATATTTGGCTCCGTGTAGATGGGCCAAATGTTGGAAAAGCCTCTTTTGGAAGAAAAGCGGAAAAAGAGACGCAAACTGGGAACTGCAATTTGTGCATATTTTCTGACTTTTCATTGTAGTGTAGACATAGCCCAAGTGTTTTGATGTTTATAGTTTGTTTTTATGGTTTTCCATTGAGTTTTCTGGGTAGTTGGCTGGTGGACAATTGAGAAAGACAGTACATAACTGGCTAGCTATGGAGGGGCGGCAACTCCCTTACACTTGAATGAGTTATTGCCAAGATACAGGATTCCCAAGTGACTTGCCTTCACTCCAAAACCATAAGGCTGCGTCTAGACTGGCAGCTGCTTTTGTGGAAAAACTTGCCAGCTGTCTACACTAGCTGCTTGAATTTCCGCAAGAACACTGACAATCTCATGTAAGATTGTCAGTGTTCTTGCGGAAATGCTATGCTGCTCCCATTCAGGCAAAAGCTCTCTTGTGCAAATGCTTTTGCACAAAAGGGCCAGTGTAGACAACGCAATATTGTTTTGCGCAAAAAAGCCCCGATCACGAAAATGGCTATTGGGGCTTTCTTGCGCAAAACCGCGTCTAGATTGGCACGGATGCGTTTCCACAAAAAGTGCTTTTGCAGAAAAGCATCCATGCCAATCTAGATGCTCTTTTCCGCAAATGCTTTTAACGGAAAAACTTTTCCATTGAAAGCATTTGCAGAAAATCATGCCAGTCTAGACGTAGCCTATAAGAATAATTGTCAATACAATTACATTAGTCCTTAAATATTACCTGTGCACACATCTCACAGTGATTATGACTCTAGATACTTTACACACTTTCAGTAGAGGCCTCACATGCATAAATTCTGGGAAAGTGGAATATTAGAGGCAGGGAGTTTGTCAGCTCTGAGAGAGGAGATGCTTGTATAGAACAGTGATCCCTTTGCACCATTGGGGCCTCTGTGTATCAGAAGATGTCCCCACAGCTAGATAGCCACAGCTGGCCTGTGTTAGCTGACATGGGCTTGTGGGGCTGTTTCATTGCTTCATAGACTTCCAGGCTTCTGAGATGGCTAGATCCCAAACCTGACCTCCAGCCCTCATCTGGAAGCGTACATAGCAATGAAACAGCCTGTAAGCCTCATTCCTGCAAGCCTGGAGTTGGCTGGCACGGGCCAGCGTGGTTTTCTCTTTGCGAGGCAGGCACTGTGTTAGGCTAACTTCTACTGAACGCTGAGCATATTTGAAAACCTGTCCTTTGAGGTCTGGACCCAGGGCTGGCCCACAACATTTTGGCACCTGAGGCAGGGAGCTCGAATGATGCCCCCATGCTCTCTCACTGCACCAGCAGCAGACACAATTTTCTACACTCCGGGTCCTAGTGGCACCCCCTCACACACACAGTCTGGCACCTGAGGCGGCCGCCTCAGTTCGCCTCATGGTAAGGCCCGCCCTGTCCGGGCCCAAATGAAATGGGCAGGTTTCAAAAAGTGCTCAACATTCAACAGCTCCCACTGAACTCAACATAGAAATTCTGGTGCTGAGTTGTTCCAAATGTGACCACTTATTTAGGTACCTAAATCATGTCAGCTATTGGGTACTGAGATCTATTGCAATTCTGGGCCCAAATGTATGCTGATTAAAGATAGCAGCTTAACCTGTCAAGTTAATAGTTAAATATGAATGTGCCCAGGGCTGATATTATAGGAGCCCATCAGAGGTCCAGATTGCTGTCTGTCATTTTAAGCTCTTGGATAGTTCACTTTTTCTGACCTTGTGAGCTCCTTGGGGCAAGGTTTGTGTTTTGCTGAGCATGGGCAGGATTTGGTAGATTCTGGGTGCTCTTAGAATACAAGTAAATATTAACTAAGTGGGATATTTTTTCTATTCTTTAGGAACTAAAAACATATGTACTTGGATTGAAATGACTGATGGAATAGAAGGGTTTTGTATCAAAGGTAATGTCACAGCAAGCTCTATAGAGTGGGTGAGCTGCCATTTCTCTGCCACTGTGCTATAAGACTAGCTGCTTTTGTTTTTCAAGCCCCAAATGATGCCAGTTTAAGTGCTCAAATATCCATCCCATAGTTATTGGGCTTGGAAAGCATGGGCTAGTAACTGGATATTGGATGAGAATCACAACATAGACATAAGTGCACTTTGGCCCAGGTAGTTGGCACTCGTGGAAGGTGAAGCGTGTTTTGCTCCCTGCTCCCAAACTGGAGAAAAAGAATCTTAGCTAAAGTTCAAGAATTTGCAGGGAGACTATGCAAGGTCATTTCATTAAGGGAACAAATGTAATAAACCTGGACCTCCCGCAGGGTAATGCTACTGCATTTTTGCTAGTGTTCTCTCTATGGCTTGGCCGTCTAAAGCCAGTATAACTCTTCAAGCTATTGGATCTAATCATCTCCTCCAACAGCAACCACTGATGGGTATTGGAGTCATACCACTTTACAGCAACTGGGAAGCTCATGTACCTTATGGTCAAACCTAGGGGTCTGATTCACCACCATTGAATTTAATGGGAGCATAAGAACAGACACACTGGGTCAGACCAAAGGTCCATCTAGCTCAGTATCCTGTCTGCCGACAGAGGCCAATGCCAGGCGCACTGATTTCAGTGCTGGTTAAGACAGGTGAGACAATTCCCTTTTGTCTCTATAACTGACAGTTACCTGCTCCTGTTGGTAAGATTAAAGAAGTGGGACTATTTTTTGTACTGTGCCTATACATCCAGTAGCTTTCTCCAGTGTCTCCTCCCCACAATATAGGCATGGTGAACACCACAAGACTCCTCTGATTGCCATATGCACTGTGGGCATAGTTATGTCTTTTCTGGGGTGATGATGGACGGGGTATGCTTTGTTTTTTATGCACATTTTCAGGCTACCAATGTACATGGACATCACCAAAATTGTCATGATTTATAGTATGATACTTTTAAATAAGATATTTCGGAATCAAAATTTCTTCTCATAAAGATGGTTTGCTAAATCTTTTCTACCCTTTCCCTTCAATTATTCATACTCACCATGGGTGAACTGACTCCTGTGCATAGGGATAGCTCAGTGCCTAGCAACCACTTAAGTCCCACTTAAGCCCTTTTTGAAGACTTAAGGGTTCCTAACCCTTGTGTTGGGCAATTCCCATGGGGGGAAACAGAAGAAAAAGAATGCTCCCCTCAAATGATATAATACAGTAATTCCTCATTTAACACTACAGATGCGTTTCTGAAAATGTTCGTGCTAAACGAAAACGTGCTATGCGGGATCAATTTTCCCATTAAAAATAATGGAAAAGGCGGAGGTTGTGTTTCAGGTGGTGATGGCGGCAAAGTCAGTTTTTTGTTGGTGCTGGGTCATCAATGTCAACATCAGATATCTAGCGACACAAGATATCTACCAACACAAGTCCCGCGGTTTGTTAAAGCACAAAGATAAACACGTGAGTGAGCGGAGGAGTGCTGTGGCCACGTGTATTCATCTGCTCGTGCGTATTACCACTGTTTTCACCAACTTATACTGCCACGCGAAGTAGTCCGCCACTTGATTATGTTCGTGTTATTTCGGGGACGGTTGTGTTATTTGAAAAATGTTCCCTAAAAAAAATCATGCTATTGCGAAAACATGTTAAGTAGGCACGTGTTAAACGAGTAATTACTGTATCTCCTTTAATAGCTAATAACAATGAGATACATTTTGTTCTCAGGTACAGCAGAAAGGAACAAATCTGGAGTGACTCCATGGACTTTATGCTGATCCAACAAAGAACAGAATTTGACCAGATCTGCTTGGCCTAATTTAATTTTCCATGACACATTCCCTCTGGTTATGTCGAGTAATGAGGAAAGCAGCATGCTCATCTGCACTGTACTCCAGCAAGATACCTTGAGTGAGGCCAACATGTCTTTGACATGCAAACTAAGGTGCCGTGCTCCTGGACACTGTCTTTCTGGTCTGAGAACCATTAATCCTATTAATTGCATATAAAAAGACTGGTAGCAATTCTACAAATGAGTAAACACAGAGATAAAAGTGTAATCGTACTAGTACAGCAAATTGGATTCAGGTCGTTATTGAACAATCCTGTTTCATTTCAGCAATTTTATTATCACCGTTGCTGGAACAAATCACTTTATTAAACAGAAGGGGCTTCTGTAAAAGAATTTCTTCTTGTGAGCAATATCGTGAAGCTATGTAACACATGACCAGCACTTACACTTGTCAAAGGATTTCTTTAGGCAATTCAGCTAATGGCTTGTGACAAGTAAGACTTGAAATGTTCATTCAGGCCTTCCCTTTGGCTATGTAGATATATTTCCTCAGTTCTAAAAAAACCCTTTTAGTGGAATGAATATTTTTGGCAGGAGCCCTGTGAATAATCTGTAGAAGATAATATGGTAGCTATTAAATTCCCCGCCACCCCACCCCGCAAAAGGTCAACACTACATTCACTGCTATTTTCAGATGGTCATGTTTTTGGTGAACCAAAGAAAGGCGCTGAATTTCACTGAAGTCTGTGCCCATGCTTTAATATTACCTTCAGCTGTATCGAGTATGACCCCAGGATTTCTTGATGCCAAAGGCATGTAGAAGGATTACAGGGATCTTCATGGTCTGGTGTTTACATTCTGGTTCACCAAAAAGTGTCATGTAAGGCTTCTGCTGAAAGCCTTACATCACATGGATCATGTAAGGCGAAACGTATGTGGGCTGGAAATTATGTTCTTAAAGCAGTGGTCACCAACCAGTGGATTGGGATCTACTGGTAGATCTTGGAACCTTTGACAGGGGATCCTGACAGGTTTGGCTGGGAGGCTATCAAGTGTTGGCACTTCATCTGCCCCGCTCAGCACTGCCGTGCTGCTCTTGCCCTCTGCCTTGGAGGTGCTCCTCACCCCTGGGAGCATCCTGCTTGCTGTGCAGGGCATGAGAAGAAGAGGAAGGGGGGTGCTGATGTCAGAGTGCCCCTCTCCTCCATCCTGTACCCCATCTCCACAGAGCAGAGGGGGGCAGGGATGGAGAGAGTTTGCTGGCTGCTTTGGGGAGTGGTGCAGGGCCAGAGAAGGGGTAAGGCTGCCTTAGCCTCATTGCACCACCTCCTGGAAGCCACCTGTGGTAAGCAGTGCCCAGCTGGAGCCAGCATTCTGAACCCTGGCCCCAGTCCTGAAACCCTTCTGCACCCCAAACCTCTGCCCCCAGCCTGATGAAAGTGAGTGAGGATGGGGGAAGGAGGATGGAGTGAGCAGGGGTGGGGCCTGAAGAAGGGGTGGACGGAGGCGGAGCAAGGGTATTTGGGATTGAGGTAAATCCTGGATTGCACTTAAATTCAAAACGTGATCTCATGCTTAAAAAGGACGGAGACCACTGTCTTACAGCCTTGTAGTTTAAAGAAGGTCATTCACAGCTAACATACGGTCAGGCAGGTTCTAGCAGAAGGAGATGGAAATCACTCAGCTCCCTGACTGATCGTTGTATCTCTTACAATGAAAGTATTATTTGCATACAGAGTCAAATGCTAATGACAAGACTGCAGGAAGCTCAGGAGAAGTGGCCGGGAAAGGGCCCATTTACTGAGGAACAACAAAGGACTGGTCTGGTTCATCTCAAAGTGCAGAGAGATGATCTGGCTTTCTTGACCGGGGGAGTCACGCTTCCAGCAGGTCTCATGAAAGGAGCTTCTCAGCCATCCCAGCTGAAAAACGCTGAAAGAAGAAATTGGGGCAAGCAATATTTCAGACAAGAGGGCATCTTGATAGTTACTCTGAATGCATGCTACGATTTTATATGTAACCCGTTATTTCCATTAATCCTACTCTCTCTCATTTGACTCTCTGTTCCTTGTTAAACAAACCGATTTCTTTGCAGAGACAGCAAGTCGAGGTGCTGTGTGTTAAGCTGATTGGTGCCTTGGCCTGCAGTATAACGGGTAAGTTGGTATGCACTGTTCCTTTGCGAACAGAGGAGCTGGAAATTCTGTGGGTGACTAGTTGAAACAAGGGCTCGACACCACAGGCGGGATACTCTGATGGTGCAGGGGTTAGAGCATGCCTGTTGCTAGCCTGCAAGAGGGACTGAGCCTGCATAGGCTACGAGAGGAGTACTTGTACCAGGGAGTGTCACACATGGCAGTAAGGGGACTATCACAGAAACAAATCTCAAGTGTGGCAGGTGCTGCCACGTGCTTCTGGCAGTGAAATGTTTGACAAAATAATTCAGTGCCCCCAAATCTTTTCTCAGAAGGGTTGATGATGATCTTAAGAAAACTCGTTGTAAGTTAGAGGTGGTGAAGACAGTTTTCTAACGTAATTCCCATTGGAGATAATTGCATACACTGTAGTTAGTCTCACTGGAAAGAGCAATTTGTTGCAAAAGTGCACGGATAAATACAATTTTATTCTGAGAAAAATAATTCCTGCAGTTTATGGACTAAGCCAGAACAGAGTAAAATAAGGCAACTGAGCACATGCTTAACTTCAAGCATGTTAATAGTTATATTGTCTGTAGGATGTATGTTCACAGGTACATTTCAGAAGGTCAGGCCCTGCCAAAGTGCAGCTTTGTAAAGTGCTTTGAGATCTAGGGATGCAAAGTGCTATATGACTTCTCGGCTGTAGTTCCAAACTTTAATAATGGAGCCTCTAGGATAGCGGTGGGAAACCTAAGGCCTAGGGGCTGCATGTGGTCCCCGGCTTGCCTGGAACCTGTCTCTGAAACTCAGTGCTGCCCCCCAGCATTGGGGAGCCCATGCTGGCACTCCAGACCCCCTGCTGTACTTCCATGGGGCTGGAGCACACAAAATCTGGGCCCCCGTAGGCCCTGGTGTGCAAGGAGAGTGTGGGGAGTGTCTTTCTCCTCAGTCAGGGGCCACGTCAGTGAGGGTTTGGTTGGTTTTTTCTTTTTGCTTCTCACGTGTGTGCAGCTCCCAACTGATTTTTCTGTGGGTCATTGGCCCCCGACCCAAAAAAGGTTCCCCACCCCTGCTCTTGGAGTTAGACACCTAAATCACACAAAGCCAATAGGAATTAAGGATCTGACTGCCACAGGACATTTGACAATCCAGCAGAAGTGCTTATCAGTTTTGAAATCATGATAGTTAATTTTGGTTAACCAGGAAAGGATATTTTATTTCAAAAGGCTCCCTGGGCAGTTGCATAAGGGACAGCCATGACCCGGCCTATCATCATGCAAAATGATTAAAGAGGGGAAAAAGTCAGGGACTGCAGTCAATGTAAATATGCCCTTAGGGACAACAGAATGAAACCCTCTGTTAAGCAGCCTTGCCTCTTCCACATCATAGTTAACTAAGCAACACATTACTTCTAGATAGCCGGAATGAAAGGCAGTGCATTCTGTGCAGTTTCAAATACCTTGGCTTTTTTGTTATATGTTAGTCTGAGTTTTTCTTTTGTGTATGTCATGAAGTAAAGAAGTCAGGCAAGTTCATATAAATCCTTACATTCTTATTCTCCATGTACGTGGCTGTTTTCACAAAATAGCTGGGTATGGTAAAGACTCATTTGTAGTTCAGATTGAAGATCTACATACAGCTCCATTCAGGGCTGGTGTTTCCAATCCATTCTTAAGTCATTTAATTCCCAAGGCAAACCTTTTTAAAGTCATCTTCCCCCCTCCCACCCACCTATTCTTCAAAAAGGGAGGCCTGGTTTGGCCTTGTTTACTTAGAGTGCAAACATATTCAAGCCAGTGATGTCAGATTAAAGGAAGAAAGGGGAGAGAAATCAAAGCCTCTAAACTGCACATAAAAGGCAATCGCTGGCAACCAATCTGTTCTACTTCCAAACTACTTGCACTTTATGAATAAAGGTCAATCTGGTATTGGCACCCAAATGTTAATGTTCTTATGAGGGTTTAAGCTGCTTTAACAGCTGAATAAGTGAGAGTGATCCACAGGGCCACACCTAATCATCCAGTTATACAAGGGAGAACCTCAGCTCAGCAGAGCAAACCATCCGAGGGTAGCAGGGGAGAGAGTACAACAGCACATTATTTACCACTTGTGTAAAGAACACTTGGGATAAATAGCTTTTATTTTTCCATCTGCTCTGCCTGCTGGTTGTTGTATATGGCTTACGTTCACCTGTTTGGTTTGTCTGTAGCAATGGTTGTCAGCACAGCGAGGGACACAGAAGACAGCACATTCACATTCTTTTCTCATGAGCTGGAGGCTATATGTTTTAAAGTGTTTTGTTTTTTACATCTTGTGCCTCTTTTATAGTGACAGTTTTCACTCTGGGGATGACATGGCACAATTGCCATTGGACAGAACGCCAGTTGCCTCCATTGTTCAAGCTAAATGGAGTACAGACCCCCCCCCCCTTCCTGTGTCAACTCTCGTTCCAAGTTCATGATCAGCCACTTTTTTGACTTGGTGTAAACTGACAAAATCATGTAATTCCCACCATCTCGGGGTTTCCCTAGCTGCCCTGAAAGTAGCTGCCCCTAGAAGGCAACCAATAAGTGCCACGTTTTCTGACTTAGTAGTCAGCAGAGATCTGGCAACTCATTGCACATACTTTGATGACAACCGCCACAGGGCTCCCAGGAAAAGGTTTGGAGTGGCTCAGAATGCTTGCTGATTGTGCCAGACAGAAGCTTCATTGTAGACAAAGGATCAAAGCTTAAATAAGGCTTAATAATTGGGATATGTTTTCATAAAGTCAGAACAAGTGCACTGCAGAATTAATTCATGTCTGGCATTTACAAACAGTAACTTGATCTTTTATCTGGTGCCCTTGCCAAGTCAAGCAGTTTTTAAAAATTAAATTTTTAAAAGGTGAATTTAGTGCTAATGAAATTGAAAGACCAATAGCGCTAGCTAGAGTCAGGCACTGTGCAAGTCTCTTCATTCTGCTGACAATGCAGCTCATTCTTGAGCTTCAAAAATACTGCCGTTTTAAATCTAGGCCTTTCCTGAGCTAGGACTACCAGCTGGGAGGTTCTCTTTGATGAGATGGTTACATGTTCTCCTGGGACTAATTAATTTAACAGGAGAACAAAAGTATATCTGAACCTTAGTTAAAAGGTTAGTGCGTTAAAATTACTGTACAAAGGGAGAACTAGTTGTCAGATCTGGCAAGTTGGACACAAGATCTCATTTTTTCTTTTTAAGCTGTGCGCAT